TTGTGCGTATACATGTTTTAGATTATGAACACTAATTCCTGGCAATGAAATAAGATCAGCTTGCCCTTTTTCATTTTACATTATAACGTGAGATATTTGTTCTTGAAAATACTTATTTTGAATTTCTTGATAAAAACCAAAGAAAGTTAAATTGACAATTTTACCCTTCTGTCAAAAAAAAGTGGAATTTTTCAAGATTGGATGAAAAAAATTATGAGAATGCAAAAAACTTACCAAAATTGTTGGCATTGGATAATCTCAAGAAGCAAGCAACTAAAGAGATGGTGTTTCGTCTTGTGGTACACCTGCAAGGGCAACTAAATAGAGGGTGTTTTGTGGGAGAAACGACAACTTAAGATGTTGTTTCGTCCAGTCGTACACCTGCAAGGGCAACTAAGATTCATAAAAGACCCAAAATAATAAATAGACAAAATTTTAGAATTCGTCTTTATGGTTTTTAGGATTTCTCACGATAATAACTATAAAAAAACATGACAATAATGGTGCCCATGGTTTTATTTACTTGCATACTTGGTCCTTAATGCATGTAAAATAACATTTATATCCTTATTAATTTATTTAGAATGTATTTTATATTTGCTAACTAATTTAATTGAAAAAACAATCCCCACCACCAAACCCCCACCCATATACAAAGCCCAAACTATCTTCTTCATCATCGTCTTTTTTCTTTTTTTTTTTTTTTTTTTTTTAATCTATCATTTCTCCTTCTTTTAGAAATCCTTCCTCTACTCCTTCCCTCTCCAAGATGAAGCACTTATTCAAGAACACGAAGAATTAAAATGCTACACGCAAGTCATATAAATATTTGCATAAATTAGCGATTGTTTTGTAATTCTATATCCAAAACCAAACGAAACCATAAATTAGGGGATGATTTTATGGTTTTATGGTTCTTGTTCACCATTTAGAAGATGAACAAACTATAAATATTACTTTAATGTCATGTTACTTGGCTTATGCAAAGAAAACAAACCCAAAGATGTAAATGAGATTGTGGAAGTCTGGTTGTCATTGTGTGGTGATGCATATTAATTTGTCATTTCTCCCAAACCCTTACGGTTTAGACCCAAGACCCTTAAGGTTTAGGTTAGGTCAATTTTAGAAACTATTTATGTTAAAGGATTTCTGGTCAGGGGTGCTTTCTATCAATGGACTATATCTCAGGTATAAAAGTTGCCAAGACTTACAAACTATGTCTTCTTCCCCAACAAAAATACCCAGCTCGCAGACGCTCATTTTCTCTGTTTCTGTTCTTCAAATAAGTAATCCAACCCCATTGGTCGTTTTGATTCGTGATGCCCACCACTGAAGACCACGAGCACGGAGAACAACGATGGTTCGGGCTAGTGTTCACGGACCACGTGATGAGTTTTCAGCATTCTAATACTCCTAAGGTGTACATGTAACCCTAAATACATTGGATCTATGTTTTCTCTATTATACATGCAAGCTTGAACTTTCCAAGGTATTACCCTAACTAGCATACAAAACTTTGATACAAGGGTAATAAAACAAGTAAGATGACATACCTTTTGTTGTATGTGGAAGCCTTGGAGTATTTGGCCTTTAAGAACTTAGCACCAATAGTGTGGATGTCTCAAGTGGAATCACAACACACCATGGACAAAGAATGATATTTTTTAGAGAGAATCTTCATTCACCAAAAACCGTCCATATGAACTCCAAGAACATGAGTGGTGATTTTGGCTATGGAGTAACATATTTATATGTGGGTTTCCAAAGGTCATGGGTTAACCCTAACCCATACCCATGGGTTTATGATCCATGGTTCATGTGGCCCAACTCTTTATGTATCCATACATAAAATTAGTCCAACATGGATCATAAGCCCAACATATAAATATAACTAATTTTCACAATTAGTCCCCATTGATTTAATTAGTCTCTTTTGATCACTAAATTAATTCCAAACTAATTCTTGGTCAATACTAATTAAATCATATGATTTCATATTAATATTTTAGAACTTATAATATATTAGTAAACCATAAATAACCTCTTCTAAAAAGTCCATCCTAACAAATTGTCCTAATGATGTGCAACCCAAATGGACCATGCTACTCTCGGGTCAAGTACATACCAGTTATAGTTATGGGCTTAGACACCTAATCCAACAGTCTCCCACTTGGATAAGTCTATTAACTATTATTGCAAGTACGACTCCAAAATCCCGACTAGCAATCGTAGCTCTTAAAAGCCGCTGTCGAACTCTGACCTAGTCAATGATGCGTCCATTAGATAAGGGATCGTATATTCCTCCATTCAACAAGATATCATATGGACTGAGGCATGAATTATAATCATTCTATCTGTCCATATGTTGTTTCCCGATTTCCGATTTATGACGACTGACTAATTGAACAAATCAAATCAGTCCAGGCTCGGCCGAGCGCTTAGGGTTGTCATCACTAAATCATCGAGGGTCCCACAGATATCGCTTTTATCCCTCTAAGGGTAAAAGGAATGGATAAAATTTGACTCATATTCTTGATCTATCTACTCATCAAATCACACACAATGATATGTTTTATAACACCGAGTTACCGGTGCGTTTACATATCATCAATGTGCAACCGACTTGTAAACTGCAACTCATACCTCTCCTTTTGAAGAATATAAGATATTATCGTCTCATGATCACTCGTGATAAAATCCATGAAGTGATTCAAATGAGCGTAGGTTGAATCCAATACTCGAATCTTATTCCAGGAGCACTCATGAACACTGCAACCACTTTGTCCTAGACAAACTACAGACCCATTCATGACAGTCTTGCCTCAATACCTACTTCCAAAGTATGATCGACTGTGGATGCTTTGAATAACCTAGTTATTCATGAAAAACCCATTCATAAGTATTGAATGTGTACAAAACAACAATGACTTGTTTTGCAAAAAAAAATTATTAAGTACTAAATGTGCACAAAAATATTAAGGACTAAATGTGTACAAAGTGACAAATTACCCTATTAAGTCATTTTTTCCGGCTCACCTGAACTAGCCGGTCATAAGTACTGAATGTTTACAGTTAAACAAGTTAAAAGGATAAATATAGACGAAAAAAAACTCAGTGTACAAATCATAAAATATGTTACAAAAAAGTGTACACATAAGTCCATCGTAGGCCAACTACTTGACAAATCAATCTTTAAGTATTTGTTTGAACGACATATTTTATTAGAAACTAGGAATCTGTTACAAAAAAGAGAATATTACACAAAAAAATGATAATAGTTGGTTGTGAAGCAAATCAATCCAATTTAGGTTATAATTGTTAGGTTAAATGGTGTGGTAGTTGTTTTGCCAACGGTAAAAAAGTGTACAAATAAGTCCATTTTTACTACAATTTGCCAATGAATGGGGTGTGGTAAAATTTTTACTATTGAAATTAAAAATAAAATAAAAAATACATCAATTTCCATTAACCAATAAATAGTTTGTATTTTTAATTGGGAAAATTTCATATATACCCTAAATAAACAATGAAATATCATATTTACCCTATTTAATTTCTAAATATTGTATATACTCTAAATAAGTATCTATAACATCATATTTGCCCTAAATGCTTTTTTTTAATATTTTATAATCATTTTAAATCATTATTTTTATTCATTGACTATTGTACCCCTTTTATAAAACTATATTTAAAATTTCATATATACCCTTAAATTGTCAAAATATCATATTTAACCAAAATGATCATTTTATGCCTTAGTATAAACAAAAGTGTTTTAATCCATTAAGACATTATTTTATATGTTTGTGATTACATTTGTCATTAGAAAGATAAATAATAAAGATGAGAAATGATAACAATAAAAGTAATTATTAACCTATTAGTCTATAAGAAAAACCATCGACATATATGTACATGCAATCTTAAAAAAAATCAAAGTACTACATCTAAGAACAAGAAATCAAGTTTATCAAATTCAACTAATAAACAAGTTTACCAAGTTTAAAAAATTAAAAACTAACGACATATTTTTTCATGTTGATACTTAACCTTGTGTGTCTCAAACAACTTTACAAAGTTTTCAAAAACAAAATAATTTTAACTAACAATAAAAACTTTTGAAAACAACCAACTATCACGGACACCGGTTCATTTTTTTTGAGGTTGATGTTTCACTTGGATCTAAACCTTGAAGTGCAGGGTTCTTGCATGTCTTTTCACGATGTCCGTACTCCCCACATCGTGGACATTTGTGTCTTCTTTTCGACTCATCTGATGATTTGATCCTATTTTTTGGGCCGTCCAACCGGGCGTTTAATAATAGGTGGATATATTTTCTCCCCATCTTTTTGCATCCATTCATCCGCTCCAGGCATCGGAGAAATTTCAAAAGCATATGCTTCTTTGAATTTCTCTATAGTGTAACACGAATCAACATGTTTGTCCTAATTAACATCCCTCGTAAAAGCAATAAAAGCTGCTGCGTGTACACATGGAAGGCCCGTAACTTGCCACACCCGACAACTGCATTTTCTTTCATCTAAGTAGACCTCCCAACGTTGTCCCTTGCATTTCACTTCAGCTTTATTGTCACAACTTCTACAAACTTTATATTCACCCAAGTTCTACATAAAAAAAGATATTGGTAAGATGATTATAGATATGTAATTCAATTATAATTTAACATACTTACCTTTGAAATGTCGTTAACATGATTCTTAGCAATAGGTACCAATGTACCATTCCATTTGTTCACTAACATTCTTTTATTATCAAATCTTTTCATAAGTTTTTCTCTAATTGCATCAAGTAGATCAAGCACGGGTTGATAGCGCAATACACCAATCCAAGAATTAAATGATTCTGAAATATTATTAGTGACATAATCACACTTCGAAGTTATGCCAAACTTGCTTCTACTCCATACCTTTTTGTGGTTGGTATTTAGATATGTGATGACGTCTTGACTTACATCACCAATGTCCTTCAATAATCTATCATGCTTGGTAGGCAAGTAGGTTTGCAGCCCTCCATAGTTTCTTGCTGAAGAATTTACCACGAAAATGTTTCTTGAAATTGCTATATAAGTGTCGTATACATTCTCTATGCTCAACATTAGGATAAACATGCATGATGGCAACTTCTAACCCTTTTTGCATGTCTGATGAGATAACAAGACCACTTGTCGTCCCAATTGCTTTTTGAAGTGATTCAAGGAACCATGTCCATGATTGTGTGTTCTCTGATTCAAGCACACAATAGGCTATCGGGAAGATGAAATTGTTAGCGTCAACACTAGTTGCAGCGGCCAATACACCGTTGAATTTTCCTTTTAAATGGCAAGCATCAAGACTAATATAAGGACAACAACCAGCAAGAAACCCTCTCGAACAAGCGGCCAGAGAAATAAAAAACCTTTTGAAGCGTTTCTTGCCACCAACTACATCAAAGTCAATTTTGACAACGCTTCCTTGTTTCCTATTTAGCAATTCTTCCCTAAATACATCCATCTTCATGAAAGAGTCTTCCCATTTACCATGCATATCAGTATATGCTTGCTCTTTCCCTCTGAATACTTTTAGGTATGGTATGTTAACATTGTAAGTTTTCATAATCCACTTTCTAAGCTCCATGGGAGAAATGTCCCCATCAGACTTCAACTTGTCAGTAACTATATTTGCAATCCATCCTTGAGTGGCACGCTTATTACCACCCATGTTACTTCGAGTACAAGTATGTCCTTCTTCAAGTTTCCTAACCTGCACAATAATTAAATGAACATATATAAATATATTTTAATTGGAAATCATGTTAAAAATAACTTAGGTATGTACTTACTTCAAAGGTAATACCATCTTGCATGACAGACGCATAAATTCTCCAATTGCAATCTATATTTTCACACCTTGCTGTGAATCGTGTCGGGTCACTTTTTTGAATATAGTAGTCAAACTCATTTATGATTGCGTAATGGTTCAAAGCTCTCCGAAAAGCAACCACATTTTCAAATTTTGTGCCAACTTTCATGCATAGAGTATTCTTACTAAAAGAGTAAGTTGCTTCATCATCATTTGTTGGCTCATCTTCATTCTCAGAACTAAGGTGACTATAATAGCTTTCTTCACTAGGACAGTAGTCTGAATCATCATGGGGTTCATCTATGTTGTCACATAAATGGTTATGCGCACACTGATTATTTGAGTTGTGGTTATTCTCTGTTGTGATGTAAATGGTTATTTCTTTCTCTTTTTCATACATATTAAGCATAGCCATGAACTTCTCATCAGAATCAAGCTCAATAAAAGATTGGCCTGATGCACACTTATCAACATAGGAAATTGAAAATTTTGGATTGTTCTTTGATGAATAACGCTTTATAACTTCTTCGTTTAGTTGACTCAAATTGTAGGACCATGTGTCTATGTGGATGCATTTTTGAGAGCCAAAGCAATATATTTTCTTACAAGTGTTCTTCGCTAACCGAAAGAATCCCCCGTATTTTAATTTTAGCTTGTACTTGCCCATTGGTATACTTACAGGAACGTAATCGATTATTGGAGACTCGGCCCTATTTTCCCATACCGGTTTCGAGGTGTCGTCAAGGATAATGTCAAAAGTATCTTCCATCTATCAATTCTCGATCTTGGTAAAAAAATCTTAAAAAATAAGCAAAACATTAATATACATTAACATCTCTAAAAAAAACTAATAATCTTAAACATCTAGAATATTATGTTTTTAGTTGCTTTATCATAAAATTGAGCAAATTCGGCAGCCTCATCATAGTGGGAAAGAAGTTTAAGAGTCATGAACTACTCATCCACTTCTACTCTTTCTGGAATAAAAAGGCATAATCTGAAATTTGGGGTAGGCATGGCCATAAGAGCCTTAATCGAAGAAGACAAAGGGTTGCCTTTAAACTGTTGATACATGCCTTTGTAGAAAGAATACGCAGCCATCAATACATGTAATATAATATGGGCTTGATTAGGTTTATAAAGTAGTCAATTGCTTCTAGTTGAAGACTCAAAATTTAATTACGACACTTCTTTAAATTAATGTACATTAGTGACAAAGAGCTTTAAAGCAATTAGTTGTTTTTGTGTGATTATGCATGAACGTATGGACAACAAGTTTTTATGGGTCATAATCGTGTAATTAATGTACATTAAAAAGCTTTAGTTTTCAAAAATAAAGTAGATAATTAATGACATTTAAACACCCAACACAACCATCAATGGTATTGAAACACTCGACACAGGTGTATAATCACATAAAACACACTACACACATGTATTATCACACTCCACGCAGGTATAATCAAGAATCCAAAGATGAAATCACTAGAGATATGAATGACATATTACCTGGTGTCAAGCCGCTAATGATCAGAATCGCTAATTGGCTGTGATCAATCAAGGTTTTGTGGAGCAGATGACGACGGGGCAAGAATCATGGAGGCGACGTGCGTGGATTGCATCTTTCATCAACGTAGGGCTTTGGTAATGTGTTTGGAAAGGGGTATTATGGTCAATTTATTTGTTTTTTTTAATTAAAATGATTTTAGATACTAATTACTGATTATAAAAGTATTAAGATTTAAAATTAGGGCAAATATGATATTATGGTTGTTCATTTAGGATATATATGATATTTAGGTATTAGTTAGGGTAAATATGATATTTCCTTGTTTATTTAGGGTATATATGAAATTTTCCCTTTTTAATTTACCAACGGTGGAAAGGTGCCGCCGGTATTATACCGACAGTGAAAAATAGATTCCGGCGTGGTATTTACCGCCGGCATATGTGCCACATTGCTTACCGCCGGTAAACAATGTGTGACACCCTTTAGCCTTACTTCTATTAAAAATCTACAAAACGCTTGCCTTGCCATTCATACATATTCGCTTCTTCGGTTTGACTATTCAAAACAGCATTTTGTTCGAGTCTTAACCAGTTTAAATGATATTTTTCATATAAACAGAACTGAAAATATAAGTTAAGAAATTTAAGCAATAATAGTGTAAGGGAATTTTTTGTACCGCTAAATATTAAAGGATACTACCTAGAAGTTAGAAAAAGAACCAAACATTTAAAAATTGTTAGCCATTAAAGAGTTTCGTAATCATCAAACCTACTTGACTTTAAGTTTAGTTTTTTTTTATTAATGAACAAATAAAACAAAAAATAAACAATGCTCACAAATCTCTGCCGAATTTGTTGGTGCGGAACACCAAAGCATCCCAAAAGTTCCATAACAAACTTATCATCGAAAAGAAAACTGCATCCAAAGTTAAACACTCCATGGTCGGCAAGCTAAGGGTAGTAACCGACAAAAACATGTACCTACGGAAATCAAAATTACGAAGCACTGGTTGTAACAACCAATGACCAACACGAGACCAAACTTGACATGCCATAATAACTTATATATAAACAGTGAACCTCTTCATCATGATCATATGGACAAACATTCACCAAATTATTTATTATAGGAATCTGTAACACCCTTAAGGGTTAAAGGTCAATTAGCCAAGTTTGTGTCAATTAGTATTAATTTAATCTATGGACTAAAATGATAAGACTTTTATGGAGAATGAGTTAGTTTGAAATCATATGAGTATAGTATCTAGGTTAACTAACAGGTTAAATGAAATTATAAGAAGAGAGACCACTATCACCAATTAGACATACTTGATGGGAGGAAGAAACTTTTGTGGGTTTAAAAGCTTATTCTTTTGATAGACTTTCAAAGGCTTTAAGTGGATCAAATGATGGGCCAAACCCACACACGCGTGCCTAATCTAGCCGATGTCGTGAAATGGCATGATTTAGGTGTGCACTTGGCACTACGAATCGGTCACTGTGAGGTGACAGAACCTTCTAGAATCATTTGGAAATATCTGATAGAATTCATGTTTAAGTTTCGATAAGTGCAGATTTAAACTTAAACTGACATGTGTCAGCCTGTGAGTCGGCCGACTTAGTCATCAAGTCCGATTTTTTAGGGAACCTCTAGGGTCTGTCCACTATAAATAGGACCTTCGAGGTCACATTTACACATACGAATTTCGAAGCTCTCTCCCTCTCTTGGCAATTTTTCTCATTTTCTTAGTATTCACTTTGCGTTTTGTCGTTTTCCATTGCTGTTGGAAAATCGATACATTTGCATTAAATCTTGGGGTTTTACTTTATCGCTTACAACCGATAGAAGCAAAGTAAAAACCTTTAAGGACAGGAAACCGATCCGTGTGGTTTTCTTCTACGTCAAGATTATCCGTCAACATGTCGGTTTTACTTTATTGTCTCGTATTTATATTCGTCCAATAACAAGACAGTCTGCTTCTAATCCTTTCTTATAATTAGATTTGATCGTGAATGATCAATATGATTTTTGGACGAAACTTGATAATAATAATAATATAATTGGATTTATTATCTTGTGACATATCAACGTTTAATCTTCTATATTAATCGTTGATTGTTTATGAAAACGTTTTGGATATTTAATCATAAATATTATCTATCCGTTCGTTTGTTTTTCTATTCTAAATAATTCATAATTAGTTCATAATACTAATTATTGGATTGTTTAAATATCAAGTTTAAAAATCAACAATATTAGAGGTTTTTATACCTTGTTATAAATTATAGACTAATAGACACCCAAATCCTACCTGCGAGTCTCCAACTCATGAACCGAGAGTTTGCCAAGCTAGATTGATTCGATGGTCAGAACTACACCTGCTAGGCCGACAAGGTCAAGTTCATGCTTCATGTGCTAAAGCTCGCTTATGTTTTGGACCCAAACATAAACCCAATTCATGCTGATCCAATTCCCGAAGTAAGGAAAAACTGTGGACCCAAAGGTCATCTCTGATATGGAAAAGAAAAGGACACTACATAGAGAGTCTGAAGAACTGTGTATGTGTCACATCAACAAATCACTATCTGATCGACTCTATGATATTTACCGATCAAAGACCCGAGAGGGCTATGGAAAGCCTTCGAAATTAAGTACAAGGCACATGAGGAAGGTACTAACAAGTACCTTGTGTCTAAGTACCTAGAGTTTCAAATGGTTGATGAAAAACCTATCATGTAGAAAGTGCATGAACTCCAGGTCATGGTCAACAAGCCGAACCTGCTTTCCATCTCTATATCAGAACTCTTTTAGGTTTGTACAATCATCGCAAAAGTGTCACCCTCGAGGAAAGACTTCTCTAAGAGAATGATGCAAAATCTGAGGACTACTTCTTGGACGATCTAATGAAGCACCTTCGTATTGAGGAGGAAACTTACATCAGGTACAAGCGTGGTAAAGTCAGATTGAGTGTGCATCACTTGTTAGCTAGGGGTTCTGGTCATAAGGGCATGTCTAGGGGACAGAACAAAAGAAACTTTAGACCCAAGAAATAAAGCTTCAAGAAACCGGGTCATCAGAATCCTAACTCAAAGCTGAAGAGGGATGGACCTTGCCATGTTTGTAGAGAGATAGGGCACTATGCGAGAGAATGCAAGGATCGCAAATCAGGATTGACAACAGATAAAGTCGAGTAGGTTACCGTTATTGGGGGAAGTATGAACCTTGGAGATATTTTCATGATATCTTCCCTTACCCAAGCAATATGTGCTTGAGGATGGTTTGTAGACATCGGAGCCACTTTGTATGTTTGTGGGAAATGAGAAAGCTTCTGCACTTATCATCTAGCACCACCAGGGACAGTTGTGGTCTATGTAGATGGCAATAGAACTGAGGTTCAAGGTAGAGGTGATGTTCTCTTGAAGTTCACACGTGGTGAATGGATTACCCTTCGATATTTTCTTCATGTTCCTACTATCCCGAAAGGGTTGGTTTATGCAGAAAAGTTTGAAAAAGGTGGGTTCAAGATGGAGCTCGAGAAAGGAAGAATTGTGATCACTAAGGTCAAAAGGTATGGTCAGAGGGCGAACAATTATTTAAGAATGCATCGTCTGTGCCTTACTGATGGGGGTAGTACGAGTAGGCCAAGTGTTACTTGTGACGGTTCTAGTGTTGAAAATGTGTCTATTGTTGGTATGGATGATGTAACTAGTGGAATGATTGCTAATTTAAATAAAATGAGCTTTTATGGTTATTTTGTTTGTTTAATTTCTTTGTGGCGTAAAAGTTTAGCCCAAACTAATGTTAAAAACATTGAAAAAAAATGCAAACTAAAGGAATGTGAAAATATGACACAAAAGATTTTGAAAAATGTGAAACTTGTGTGAAATCAAAGTTTACAAAGAATCCATCAGTGAAGAGATATACATCATTACTTGAGTTGATTCATTCTAATATATGTGAATTAAATGGAATACTTACTCGAGGAGGAAAAAGGAATTTCATCACATTTTGTGATGACTCGAGTCGATATCTTCAAGTTTATCTCCCGAGATTATATGATGAATCTTTTTATGCATTTAAACTATTTAAGGCTGAAGTCGAAAATCAAATTGAAAGACGCATCAAAATGCTTCGCTCGAACATAGGTGGAGAATATTTCAACCAAGAGTTGGACACATTCTACGAAAGCGAATGGAATCAAACATGAGAGAACCTCAACCTATATTTCCAACAGAATGGTTTGGCGCAAAGAAAGCATA